CCCGCCCCCGACCACCCCTGCGGCCCCTCGGGGGGGGTCTCCAGGCCTGATTAACCCCACCCGTTCTGTGCCTTCCTCCCCCCGCAGCCGCTCGGGCTCGTTCCCGTTCGCCGAGACGCCGCTGTTCGGGCAGAACTCGGGGGGCTACTTCGAGGGGGCTGCGGGGGCTGCGGTGCAGCCCAGCCCCCCCCCGCCGCCCCCTCCCCCGGCCAGCTCTCAGGCCCCCCCCGCCAGCGCCCCCGTGCCCATGTACGTGGCGGGGGGGCAGATCCTGGGGACCCCCCCCGCCCCCAGCCAGGGCGGCTCCGGGACCCCCGGCGGAGGCACCTACGTTATCCAGGGGGGGTACATGGGGGGCGGCGGCGCCGCCTACGCTCACACCACCCGCGCCTCCCCCGCCACGGTGAGACCCCCGGGGGTTTGGGAGGGGGAAAGGGGGCGGATGGGAAGGAAAAAAAAGCAGGAGAAGAAAGGGGGTTTAATTGGAGAGTTGGAGTGAAATGGGAGATTCGAGGGAAATCGGTTTTGGAGGAAGAAGAGAGGTTCGGGAAAAAAAGATTTGGTGGGGGGAATGGGAGGTTTAGGGGGGAAAATGGAGATGTGTGAGGGAAATACGAAGATTTTGGGAAGGAAACGGCGCTTTGGCCGCGGGGACATCCCTTCCCCACAAACAGCAGTCCTTACAACAACTCCTTACAACAACCCCCAACAACAGCCGGCCCTCGGGACGTCAGGGCAGAACCCGAGCGGGCTCCGGGCTGGGGGCGCAGGTGGGGAGGGCGGGGTCGAGGGGGTTTTTGGGGTGCGGGTGACTCCCCCTTTCCCCCCCCGCAGGTGCAGTGGCTGCTGGACAACTACGAGACGGCCGAGGGGGTGAGTTTGCCCCGCAGCGCCCTGTACTGCCACTACCTGCTGCACTGCCAGGGCCACAAGCTGGAGCCCGTCAACGCCGCCTCCTTCGGGAAGCTCATCCGCTCCGTGTTCATGGGGCTGCGCACGCGGCGCCTCGGCACCAGGTCAGACCCCCAGAAACCCCGAAACCGCCCCAAAAAGCGCCCTGAAATCCCGCAGCGCTGCAGGACGCGCTGCAGGCCTCCCACCCCGGGGGAGCCAGCCCCCCAAACCCTCCCGTTTCGCAGGGGTAACTCCAAGTACCACTACTACGGGCTGCGCATCAAGGCGGGGTCGCCGCTGCTGCGGCTCGTGGAGGACCAGCAGCACCTGGCCATGCGGCAGCAGCCCTTCGCCCAGAAACAACGGTGAGGGGAAACAGCCGGCTCCCCCCTCTCCGAGCCCCCCAAAACCCCGCTGATCCTCGCCCTTTTCCCGCCCCCCACAGCCTCAAACCCGTGCAGAAGGTGGAGGGAGGGGTCACCAACGGGGTGTCGTCGGGGCCGGCCCCCCCTGGCGTCCCCGACATCAGCGCCCAGGTGCAGCAGTACCAGCAGTTCCTGGGTGAGCCCCCCCACGGTTGTGCACCCAAGAAATGCCCCTTCCCCCCCGATTTTGGGGACCCCCCCTGACCCCCGGATCCCTGCAGATGCTTCCCGCACGCTGCCGGAGTTCCCCGAGATCGACCTGCAGGGGAAGGGGCTCCCCGAGGGCGCAGGGGCCGAGGACCTGCGCATTTTCCAGCAGCTCTACCGGGAGCACTGCGAGGTAGGAAACCCCCCGGAGCCCAAAACCACCCTCTCCCCACATCCGGGGACCCCCCCTGACCCCGCTGTGCCCCCCGAAGGCCATCGTGGATGTGATGATCAACCTCCAGTTCTCGCTGGTGGAGACGCTCTGGAAAAGCTTCTGGCGCTGTAGCGGCGAGACCGATGCGTGAGTGGAGGGGCCTCCAAAGCAGGGGGACACTGGGGACATGGGGGACAGCAGGATTTGGGGGTCCCGTGGGCGTGGGAGCGCTGAGGACGTGAAGGATGTGGGGGATCCTGCAGCCAGGGTGTCTGAGACCCCTGGGATTTCAGGGTCCCCAGGACGTGGGGTGCAAATGGTTTTGGGGCTGCTGGGGTGGGATGTGAGGGGGCTCTGGGGCTGCTGGGGGGTCCCCCCAGGTTTTTGGGGTGACCCCGGCCCCCCGTTCCGCAGGCAGGAGGAGGTGGAGCGGCGCCTGCCCCGGCGGCGGCTGCTGCTGCTGGCCCGGCACGAGCCCGTCCTGCGCTGGGTGCGCGACTGCGACCACGCCCTGTACCAGGGGCTGGTGGAGATCCTGGTGCCCGACGTGCTGCGCCCCATCCCCAGTGAGCCCCCAAATCCCCCGGACCCCCCAGAACCCCCCAAGAACCTCCCCAACCCGGCACGGCCCCAGAACGGCCTCCAGAGGGACCCAGCTTTCCTCAAACCCTCCCAGGGAGGATCTACACCCTTAAACCGTCACCCAGACCCCCAAAAGTTTGTTGTGGCCCTTCAAAGACCTCCCAAATGAGTCCCCCCAGTGCCCCAAATCCCTCTTTTGCCTCCCTTTTCCAGGTGCCTTGACCCAGGCGATCCGGAACTTTGCCAAGAGCCTGGAGAGCTGGTTGGGGAACGCCATGGTCAGCATGCCCGAGGAGATGGTCCGAGTCAAGGTGGGCTCTGGGGGGCTGCAGCTCCTGCTGAGAGCTTTGGGGGGACTGGGGGGGGGAAATGGGGGAGCACAGCGGGGTTGTGAGGGGTCAGTGGGGGGGTTTGAGAGTCTCAGTGTTGGGGTTTGGGGGGGGTGTGCTGGATTTGGGGGGAGTTGGGGGGGTCCTGGAGGCCTAAAGAGGGTTTAGGGGGGTGTTCTGGGTGTTCCGGGATTTGAGGGGCCCGTGGTGGGGCCTTGGGGGGGACCTGGGGTGTGGAGTGTGGTCATGGTGGGCCCTGGGGCGGATTGGGGGTTTCAGGAGGTAGTGTGGGGGGTGTGGGGGGGGGTTGGGGTGCTGTCCCGAGCTCTGGGGGGGCTCTGAGGGTTCCCGGTGCCCCCCCGAGCCCGCAGTTTCCCCGCAGGCAGCAGCGGCCGGGGCGTTCGCGCAGACCCTGCGGCGCTACACGTCCCTGAACCACCTGGCGCAGGCGGCCCGGGCCGTGCTGCAGAACACGGCCCAGATCAGCCAAATGCTCAGCGACCTCAACCGCGTCGACTTCGCCAACGTCCAGGTGGGGGGGACCCCAAACGGGGCCGGGGAGGCTGAGCCAGCTCCGTCCCGAGAGCTGGGGGGGCTCCCCTGCGAGCGGAGATCCCCGCGCTCCCGGGAGCAGAGCCCGGGCTGGGGCTGGGGGTGAGGGTGGGCTGAGGGCGGGCTGGGGCTGGGGGTGGGCTGGGGGTCCGTGCCCCGTCCCAGGTTCCATGCCGTGTCCCGGCCCGCAGGAGCAGGCGGCCTGGGTGTGTCGCTGCGAGGCGCGGGTGGTGCAGCGCCTGGAGCAGGATTTCAAGGCCACGCTGGGGCAGCAGCACTCGCTGGAGCAGTGGGCGGCCTGGCTGGACGCCGTGGTGGGCCGTGTCCTGCGCCCGCACCTGGGCACCCCCGGGCTGCCCCGCGCCGCCAAGCTCTTCCTGCTCAAGTGGTCCTTCTACAGGTGAGGGACCCCCAGAAACGGCCCCAAACCCCACGGACACCCCGACCTCCCCTGCCAGCCCCGCGGGGCCCCCGGGACGTTCCCCATCCTCCCAGAGCCTCCTGGAAGTTCCCCGACCCCCTGACCCCTCCTTGCACCCCCAGCCCCCAGACCCACTGACCCCACCTGGCACCCCCAGACCCACTGACCCCTCCTTGCGCCCCCAGACCCACTGACCCCTCCTTGCAGCCCCAGACCCCCTGACCCCTCCGTGTCCCCCCAGCTCGATGGTGATCCGGGACCTGACCCTGCGAAGCGCCGCCAGTTTCGGCTCGTTCCACCTGATCCGGCTGCTGTACGACGAGTACATGTACTACCTGGTGGAGCAGCGCGTGGCGCGGGCCCGGGGCACCTGCCCCATCGCCGTCATGGGCGAGGTGGGCACGGGGGGCTGCGCTGGGGGGGCTCAGGCCTCACCTCTTGTCACCCGGGGGAGCAGCACGTGTCCCATCGCTGTCATGGACACGGGGGGGTTTTAGAGGGGTCCAGGGGGATGTTGGAGGGGAGTGACCCTCGGCGCCCCCCAAACATCCCCAAACTTGACCCGCCCTCCTTTCCTCCCCCGTCCCCCAGTTTGCCAACCTGACCAGCTCCCTGAACTCGCAGGACCCTGACAAAGGTGGGTGACACCCCCCGTCCCTGCACGACCCCCAGCGAGGTGCAGCCCCCTCCTCTCGCCAGTGAGGGGGGGCAGCTACGCTGGGGCAGGGTAGTTCTGGATGGGGAGGGGTTAATTCTGAGGCGGGGTAATTTTTGGGGTGCTGTGTTAATTGGGAGGTTCAATCCTGGAACCTCCTGACGCCAGCCCCCCCCCCCCCCCCC